TGAAATTGTCTCTGTGTTTGTATATGTGGATAGCCTCATGAACGAATCTCTCATGGAAGCCAGATGGCTTACAAAGAACCTCCGTCTTGGAAAAGTCAATGGCATGTGAGCCTACTGAATTAGAACAATGATCTGCTACGGCCGAGGTGTTGGTCCTACCGTGTTTAAGGTCTGCTTTATGTTCACGAATGCGGTCCGAGATATGGCGTTTGGTTTCTCCAATGTAACTACTACCACAGAGGCAACTTAGTTTGTAGACACCAGGGTATTGTATGTCCGGAATCACATCTTTTACAGACGGAACCAGATCACGGATTTTATGTAATGTGTTGAAACGGACCTGGATCTTGTGTTTATTCAAGATTTTGGAGATCTTTTTTGTGATCCCAGCAATGTAGGGTAAAGTGATGGTTTTGAAAGGCTCCTCAAGAGGGTTCTTCTTCATGGTTTGAGTGATAGCTTTGCGGATTGTATAGTCGGAGTAACCATTAGCCCTAAGAGCTTGGTGTACGTGCTTGAGTTCACTGCTTATGTGTTCCTGGTCGGATATGCATTGGGCTCTATGATACAGAGTCTTGATGAGAGAATTCTTCTGTGATGGATGGTGGTGGGAATCCGGTTTCAGATAAGCATCCGTATGGGTAGCTTTCCTGTAGACAGAGTGGCTCATTGAACCATCAGGTCTCTTTTTAATTAGGACATCCAAAAAAGGTATCTTGCCATCTATTTCGACTTCCATGGTAAATCTGATGGCTGGGTGTATGGAATTGATGTGGTCGAAGAATTGGTCTAGAGCAGGCCGGCCATGTGGCCAGATGACAAAAGTGTCATCCACGTACCTCTTCCATAAGGTTGGGCGCAGAGTGGCAGTCTGGATGGCGTCAGTCTCAAATTTCTCCATGAAAATGTTAGCTATAACTGGAGAAAGGGGGGAGCCCATTGGGGTGCCCTCAGTTTGTTTGTAGAAAGTTCCATTCCAAGTGAAGTATGTATTGGTTAAACAGTGTCTCACCAGGGGGGGTACCTCAGTGTTTAGTCCTTGATGAACCAAGTCTTCAATGATTGCAATGGTTCATCAAGGACTAAACACTGAGGTACCCCCCCTGGTGAGACACTGTTTAACCAATACATACTTCACTTGGAATGGAACTTTCTACAAACAAACTGAGGGCACCCCAATGGGCTCCCCCCTTTCTCCAGTTATAGCTAACATTTTCATGGAGAAATTTGAGACTGACGCCATCCAGACTGCCACTCTGCGCCCAACCTTATGGAAGAGGTACGTGGATGACACTTTTGTCATCTGGCCACATGGCCGGCCTGCTCTAGACCAATTCTTCGACCACATCAATTCCATACACCCAGCCATCAGATTTACCATGGAAGTCGAAATAGATGGCAAGATACCTTTTTTGGATGTCCTAATTAAAAAGAGACCTGATGGTTCAATGAGCCACTCTGTCTACAGGAAAGCTACCCATACGGATGCTTATCTGAAACCGGATTCCCACCACCATCCATCACAGAAGAATTCTCTCATCAAGACTCTGTATCATAGAGCCCAATGCATATCCGACCAGGAACACATAAGCAGTGAACTCAAGCACGTACACCAAGCTCTTAGGGCTAATGGTTACTCCGACTATACAATCCGCAAAGCTATCACTCAAACCATGAAGAAGAACCCTCTTGAGGAGCCTTTCAAAACCATCACTTTACCCTACATTGCTGGGATCACAAAAAAGATCTCCAAAATCTTGAATAAACACAAGATCCAGGTCCGTTTCAACACATTACATAAAATCCGTGATCTGGTTCCGTCTGTAAAAGATGTGATTCCGGACATACAATACCCTGGTGTCTACAAACTAAGTTGCCTCTGTGGTAGTAGTTACATTGGAGAAACCAAACGCCATATCTCGGACCGCATTCGTGAACATAAAGCAGACCTTAAACACGGTAGGACCAACACCTCGGCCGTAGCAGATCATTGTTCTAATTCAGTAGGCTCACATGCCATTGACTTTTCCAAGACGGAGGTTCTTTGTAAGCCATCTGGCTTCCATGAGAGATTCGTTCATGAGGCTATCCACATATACAAACACAGAGACAATTTCAACCGAGAAGATGGATTCTATCTTAGCAATCATTGGAAAGATTTGATAAATCATTTCAGTTCTTGATTGATTGTTCACGCTTACAGTGGCTTTCAGACAGCATACATAAAAACAAATTTCGTCTCCCCCCTCCTCTTTTCAAAAAATAGATGGACTAGTCCTGGCAAACAGCCAATCGTTGCGCGTGACGCAAACGTTATTTTTATATAAATAAATAAATATGCCGTTTTCGAAATAAATTTATGCAAACCGACACACCTGATGATGACCGTTTGAGTTATGGTCGAAACGTCGTGAGAATTTTTTATTGTTTTATATATATTTTGTTATTTTGTTGTTTCTCTTCAACGTGACTACCGAAAAAACTAAGAATATGAAGTACAACTGTTTTTAATGCAGTGCATTTTGCTGTCCACTTGCACCGACCTACCCGCTCAATAAGCTGCACTGGATAGCTTGTCCCTGCCATAGGATTGTGAAATTTACACTGTCTTGTGAGTATAAACTTGAGATGAGCGCAACCCCCACAGCTAACTGAGCAGAAAATCAAACGTAGATGTTTTTATTCTAGACGTAAAACTGCCTCTCGTCTCACCATGTGTCCGGCCTTGAGAATCCAGTAGAAGGTGAAGTTGCCGTAGCTCTTGTGGTAGGCCACGTTGTCGCTTGAGACGAGGGACAGGGGGCTCCACCTGAGCTCGTTGAACGCATCGAGGCCTGGCCACTTCATCTTTTGCACCCAAGACTCCTGCCCTGTAGGAGCATGAGATCAGCGTGCACTTTCAGAACCTGACCGTGATCAGACCGTGTGTGCGGTGTAACTGCATCAGGCCACATATTAAAGACACTACGGCAGTGTCAAATTTTTAAGACCAGCGCTCTCAACTGCAGTCGCACAACTCGTGACTTTAAAATAAAATTGTTAGGAGATTGTTCATATCTAGTATGACGTCGCATGTAGATGGAATTTGTCATGAATGGCAGTTTTCATGCTGGAATACACCTGTCGGCACAGATCCGCGTTACCCCTGCGGAGGGTAGAATTAAGACTGAAATGCCTTTCACACATCTTAGCGTTCAATAATAACAATAGCTATAATTAGGGCTTGCCGTTAGCGAGCACACTGAAAGTATAAAAGCAATATATTTTTTTCGAGCACCCAATCGGTAAAACATCGATGGTGAGCCGTTTCAAAGTGACAGGCCTCAGTTGTCCGGGGGCCATGTGATGAAATAAAGTTTGTGGGTTGTAGCTGGGCTGTGGGGGTCAACGGTTCCCCAACCCTTGTAATCGCGTGTCGATGTGCCTGTGTCCATGCCGGTTTTTCCCCATTGCCGGCAGCATTTACCCAGCGTGTCCACGATGAGGTCGAGCTGCCCATTGTAGACAGTGACGTTAACCCCGCTCGCCAGCAGCTCGTCGACCATGCCGATGACCGGCTTCATGAAGTCCGCTGCCATGTTCGAGAACACATCTTCCGACTGGCCTGCGGGGACACGGTCGGGTAGAATGAGTGGCCACCGAAGACCGTCGCTTCGAGGAGTGTGGAGTCTTTTGCCTTCTCGAGGGCAGAATATAACTTTGAAACACCTTGAGTGGACCTGCACGTGAGTGCACGTTATCAAAGAATAATGTTATTAGGGCTTACTTTATCCCGATATCTGCCTCCTGCTTTCCTCTACCAGGAAGTCAATATTGACTTCTAGAACCCGATTAGCGCAGCCAAGATGCTTGCGGCGACGGTTGGCTATTATTTTGGATGTGGTTGGCTTCACGTGGCCGTGGGCCGTGTGAAACGAAACGAAGTCACGACCGTGTGTGGCCCGTGCGCGGGGACGACTAGACCAATTCAAACCCAAGATCTCGGCGGGACTGGCTCGGCCCTCTTGACATTCCCGAGCCACCTGTGGCGTTGAAATGGCCTATGGGGTGGCGCGTCCGCCGCTTGTTGCAGAGATTCACGGTTCGAATTCGGCGGCCGCCCTCTTCAATAGAGTGGACATTAAAGATTCCCCCGACGTCTCCTGCGTTCCGCCCCTTTCATATGGTCCTGGCGCGCCAGAATGTGGATGCTTGCAGATTTTTGTTGTATCCCATTGTTGGAATCTCCCGGTGTCGTTTGCTGGGCCCCGCATGTTGCAATATAAAAAAATTCGCAAGCGTAGGCCAAAGTATGTCAGTGTCATCGTCCAAATTTGTCGAAATGGAAGCTTAAATAACTCAATTGGGACTACTGTATACATGACATTTATGGCTTCCTACTCGTAGACTAATGCTCCTGGTCACTCTTGCAAATGAGACTCGTCCTTCACGACGATAAAAATGTTTGGGTGAGATCGCGCAAATGTAAATATGTCTTAAAGCCACCTTTGCCCGAAATGCTACGTGTTAACGATACTCATCATGGTCTGTTGAGTTCTCACCTGATTAAACAAAATATATATTCGAAACTTAAAATTGAATTCGGCCACCTCGACTAAATGGTGATGACCTCTTGGCAGTTCGCGTGTTGCACGATAAACCCGGCTACCCGAGTTCGATTCCCGCTCACGGCCAACACCAGCAACGATAATCTGAATCGGTCCTGGGCCTGCCCTAGGTCGACTCGGCCTCAAATGAGTATCTGGTGCTGTGTGTGAACAAAGGCTGCCAGGCATGGTGCTGGACACCCACCCACCTCGTGTTCTGTGCCAGCCTTCATGGGTGCTCGCTAACAGTACTTACCCCAACAGTCTGTTCAGGCTATATGGGGGGCCTTTGTTTTCATACCTCCCCACTGCACGTCGTCCGGGATCATTGCCAGCTTCTTCCGGATGGCTCCGTTCATGAGCTCGCTGAGCTCCGCCTGCTGTAAGTGTCCAACGTGAGTCTGGTAGAGCTTGGCTGCAGCAGTAAACACGACGCACAAGTCAAGAACGCAAGAGACCAGGATGAGTCTTATTTGCAAGAGTGACATCACGACAAAGATCCCCGATATAGCCTGTAACAGACTGCTAGGGCGTGTGCTCTCCGCGGGTGCTTATAAAGGCCAGCACCGCGCACACGATGAGTTGGTGTGGCTAGCACCGTGCCCGGCAACCTTTGTCTCCCCAATAATGATGGTCTCGCACCGCACCAGGTGCTATTTCAAGGCTGAGCTGACATTGGGGAGGTCCAGGACCGGTGCAGACTATCATCATCGATGTTGGCTGTTAGCGGGAATTGAGCTCAGGATATCGGATGTCCGCGAAAATTAAGTTATTTGCCCAGATATCAAGGTTTTCCAAGACACCACTCAATTAGCCATAGAACGATTGACCTGTCCCCCCAACAACTGTCACGAATCGAGATCACAATTGATTTCAGTGATTTAAACCAAGTCTCGTTATTTACGTACCGATTGTATTGTTTCCCATGTTCTTCTATATCGCTGGTAGAGTTTTGTTCATTCCATTAAGCCTACGTTTCACAACTATAAAGACACGGTGATGCCTTTGGCAGGCCTTCAGCGGTGGATAGACGATGGCTTATGATGATAATGAACATTGCAATGTGTAGTCCTGGCCACGTGAGCATGCATGTGCCGGGATCTCGGTTCGACTCGGCTAAACTCGGGTTACACACATGTCAGAGGTCACGGTGAGCCATCTTCCTACGGGACCGTGCTGGCACAAACCTTGCGGCTTGCTCGCTGCTGGCCACTTATGAACCCAGCGCCAATAAAAAAAAAACTCTTCATCCCCCCATGGCCCATTTCCCAGCAGCCGAAGCCAGGCTGTTTATCACATGGTTCAGAAGTTTGGTGGGCGGTTGTTATTTGTCCCATGTTACGTAAAATGTTTTTTATAAATGTGTTGTGCATATGTCTGTGTGTGATTGTGTGTGTACGATGGGCCTCTTTGGAGTCTCGTGAAGGGCGCTACTGGGCAGTTGATGCTATCGCCCCCCCCTCCCCCCAGCAACAACAGAAGGCGGCGGAGCGAAGCTCACAACAACTAACTGAGCGCCAGGTGGCTAAAACGCAGCAAGTTGACAAGAGTAGGCAGCACAGGTGGGGCATCTGTCATCTCAATTAAGCCATTACACCTGGGCTTGTATCGTGTGCCATAGTGATGTCACCGCCACTTCGCATCGAATCGAATTGGAGCATTGTTTTGCATAAGTTGCGTTGTGGGGCGCAGTGGTGTAGCTCTGTGTGCACTCCACTACATACCAAGTAACCCGAGTTAAATTCCCGGGTATGGCTATCGCCAGTTTCAGTTTTCAGTTTCATTTATTTGGTATAGCCCCTGTGAGCCATTCGGCTCTTGAATCGGGTGCAACCGCAACAAACAAAAAAACATGAACAAGAAAACATCTTAAAGTGATTATGTGACTGTGCAAACAGAAAATCCAGGAAAACAGCAAAATATTCATGAAAAAGCACCGTACACCAACGCTGTGTGCAAAAATCCCAGTGGGATGCAAGTCAAACAACAACCACAAGACAGCTTAGATTAAGGCCATCAGTCTAACTCCGTACTACAACAAACAAAACATGGCCAAACCAAAAAAACTTTTTGAAATCAAAATAAAGCCATAAAAGCAATGTAACAGTGATCATAGGACGAGTGACGAGCGATATCAAGACCTGTCCCTTGACGTCCCCTACGTTGACTCAAGCCTCTGTACACATCAGCAGCGGGTAAACAAATGCAGTCGGGTGCCTCTTGGTTTGCCGTGCTTGCCTTCCTTGGTGCTATCAGCACTTGCCCCAACAGCCTGAGTAGGCTATTGGGGGGGGGGAACTTTATCAGTGTTTTTTCACCCCACCCCCTCCATTTTGCCCCATGCACACACATACCAAGTGGTCTTTTCCGTGGTTGTGTAGCAGAGGTGTCCACATAGTGGTTGGTCGAGTCTTGCGTGAGAATGTTGTAGAAGTTCACTCCGTTGGTATACTGCAGCAACAACAACACAGTGTGGCATTAAGTGTAGTGCACATACTGGTAAAACATAATTTTAATTCGGAGCAAGCTGGAGGTTATTCTTTGTATACAGGCACTGGTTCATTGAACAGCGGCACATTAGTTCCAGTCTATTTAATCGCATTACTGGAATTGTCTACGCGTAATATTTGCCTCCAAAAGAACCATCAAGTCACGTTGACGTTGAAGGCAGTCTCCTGTGTGTAAATTCAGTATTTTCCTGGGGAAAGAAGCAAACTTGATCATCGGATCACAAAAGCTCTTTGTCCAGAAAGTATGAATTTTTTTTGTACGACTAGGTGGACACAAGTGGATTACGTGGATGACTGTATTACATGTATTGTTGCAGATGAAAATAAATAAATGAACTTCGACAGAATCACCTGAAAAATGCGTCAAGTCTCATCAGATCTCAGAAGCTAAGCAGGTTTGAGGCTGCATAGTGCCGCGATGGGTGACCACCACGCACACCCCTGGCATTACACACACTCGGCTGCATCGTCACAACACAGTCACAACTCAACAACTACGCCGTTTGTACTTGTACACAACAGCAACTAACTTCACAGCCACAACCAGTCGCAATGTAGCGTCACGTTTTCCCTCCCACTGCCCAGAATTGTCGAGTGTTTACGTTTTGAAGAAATTAGTGCGATGATGGGCGCTTTATTGGTGGCAGCCAATTTGCGGCCAGAAGGGCGCCACGTGTTTGATAAACAAACAACAAAAAAAAAACAATGGACTCGACCCAAACGGGCTGTCACAGGGCAGGGCTACGCGGTGGCAGCAGCAGCAACAGCAGCAACAACCGCTCTGCCACCCTCCGACTCTTCTCACCGTCTTCACTGATTTCTTTGTTTTGGCCACTTTTTTTTGCTGTCGCGCGTGCCTTTTGCTTTGGCGCGATTTCTTAATTCGTTAATTCATTTTTAGATTTTGCTTGCCACGCGTGCGTGCGTGCGTGAAGGGGAGCGCTAGTGTAGCGGTTAGCGCTGCGCTGCGCTACGAACCCGGGGAACCTGAGTTCGATTTACGCTCACGGCCAACACCGGTGACGATTACCTGAACCTGTCCTGCGCCTCCCCTAAATTGACTCAGCCTCAAATGAGAACCTGGTGCGGTGTGTCAACATCGCCGCTGGGGAGACGGTGGCGGCCAGGCGTGGTGCTGGCCACCCACTCCCTCGTGTGTCGTGCCGACTTTCATGGGTGCTCGCTGACACCACTTGCCCTAACAGTCTGTTAAGGCTATATGGGGGATCTTTGTGTGTCTTTGTTGGGCTTCTTTCACGCCGTGTGTAGCCAACTGCTCGTATGTGGGATTTGATCCTTATATATAATGAATGTACAGCATTGTGGGATGTTGTTGGCACGAATGGCGCTGTATAATAATAGAAGTATTATTATTATTAACCCATACCATGACCGGCGCGATGAAGTATGGTCAAATTTGGCAGGGGTGCGGATGCTGTTGGTTGTCATTCGTGAAGAGGTGTCGCGATCCCCGCGGAAGCCATCGCGTGCCGGCGGCATCGGGGTCCAAACTTTTGCCAACTTTTTAAAATGACACCACAAAAATGACTCAATTCGGATTCATGCCCACAGCAGCAACCATGGCCCCCTGCTGACAGCCGAATGCCCCAGGGTCGCTCTTGCAAACGAGGCTCTTCTCGTAGCCTCTCGAGCTCTCGCCCGGTTAAACGAAGCGGGCAAAAAAACCTCCCCCGTGTCCACTCGTGGTTCGCGAGGAGCGGCAGGCGTGAGGTGGAGGGGGGGGGAAACGCTCACGCTGGAGATCACGTCCTCCGCCAAGGACCAGAGTCGCGTCGCGTTGGCATACTGCCCCGCGTCGTAGGCCTCCTTCACGGCGTTGGCTGCCTCCATCACCAGCTGGAGGCCCGGCTTGTCCAGCAGAGACTGTGCGTACGTGCACACACGTAAACGTACATGTAACACGTAGACACAAAGACCCCTTCGCCCCGCCCCACTACCCCGTGCATATCCGACAACAGACTGTTAGGGAAGATGATAACCACCATTGGAAACCTCATTTGCCAGTAACAAAATATGATAATTGTTTTTTGACCCTTTTATCTGGCAACAAAACTGACACCTTTTTTTTTACAAGGAGTCATGTTTACATTGACCACAATACCTGCGGTCGGAACGCAAACAAAAAACAACAACTCTGATAATGTATGCACTGTCCTTGAAATTGATTGGTCCACACCCGAGACAGCTTTCTTTAGAGCCTCGTCTCACATGGCGTCTTCTGGTCCAACATCATGTGAGACGAGGCTCTAAAGAAAGCTGTCTCGGGTGTGGACCAATCAATTTCAAGGACAGTGCATACATTATCAGAGTTGTTTTTTGTTTGCGTTCCGACCGCAGGTATTGTGGTCAATGTAAACATGACTCCTTGCAAAAAAAAGGTGTCAGTTTTGTTGCCAGATAAAAGGGTCAAAAAACAATTATCATATTTTGTTACTGCTGATGTTTACACCCTGCACCAGGTTCTCATTTTAAGGCCGAGTCGTCGACCTCGGGGAGGCTCACGACTGGTTTAGATAATCGTCACTGCACTGGTGTTGGCTGCAAGCCGGAGTCGAACTCGGTTCGCCGGGTTCGTAGTGCAGTGCGCTGACCACTACACAACCGCTCCTCAGAGACAAAGATCCCCCGTATAGCCTTAAAAGACTGTCGGGGCAAGTGCTGTTCGCGAGCACCTATGAAGGCTGGGACAGCACACAAGGGGGTGGGTAACCAACACCACGCCCGGCCGCCTTTGTCTCCCCAACCACGATGCTTACACACCGCACCAGGTACTCATTTGAGGGTGAGTCGACACGCACACACGCACGCATGTGAGTCATCACTTGGCACAGCAGACGCACCCACGATAGGGACGTCCATGTGAAATCCCTGACCAGTGACCGTGGCGGCCAATTTTTTAAACAGCTCACGTTTGTACGCGTCAGCACCTGACGCAATAACAAACCGACCGTCATAGCCCATTCCACGACAGTTTGTACAAAAAAATAGATTCACAAGCGCTAGCCAGACCACGGGGTTGCCGATGTTAAATCAGACAAAGAAACCGATTTCAGCAAAGATAATTTAATGCTGCAATGGTGAATGTAAACACGTGGCTTCAAAAATATACGGGGACTTTCGAGTGCCTGATTAGCTTGGACAATGATTACTACAGTTTAGGTTCTTAATTACTAATTAACTAAAGTTAAAGCCCCGCATAATTGTGCTGATGTCTACATTTTTAAAACTGGTGTTAATGTGTATACCAAAGAGCAAAGCCACCAGGCATGGCTCCAATCTCATCAGATATTACCTTTGGATAGTGCCAGGATGGGCAACCAGCGTACCCATAACTTGTGTTACAGACTGTCGGGCTACGTGGTGGTCAGCAGAGGACAGTGCCACCTTTGTACTGTGCTTCTGCGCTTCCACCTCCATGCTACACGAATTCACAAACCCGCATTGGCCAGCGTGGTGAAGCAAGATCAAAGGATCCCCCGCAACCTGTGCGTTGTCAATTTGAAGGCGTCGAAGCCGTTCATCAACCCTCGTCAGTTCTTGCGGACGCTGTGCCACGAACGCCCCATTTGAGCGCGGACGAGGTGAACCTTACCGTAGCGTGCAGATAGGGTCCCCAGGTCAGCACGGAGTCTGCGAAAACGAGAAGACCCGAGCGTTGAAACCGGAGCTAAACGAGCATCTTCGGTGGCTCATTGGTGTCAGAGGGCACCGCCGGATCGCTCGGCTCGATTAAAATGAGTTTTCATGTGGTCATGAGTTGATTTTTGGATGAGTTTTTTCGCTTAGTTTGGTGACAAAAATATTGCGTCTGAAGATATCAGATATATCGGCTCGACCGTCACGCGATGAGCGTTACCTTGTGCAGCAGGGCGCACGTGCGGAAAAGTTCCACGCTTTTGTTGTGGATAAGAGGTCAATTCGCGGCATTCTCAAAAGTAGTTCTGTAATGTCTCCTTCCACGGACCGCTACCTTAACACGAGGTGATTGCACTGCTGCTCTGCGAGAGCTACGAATGGATTCTGTATCCCGTGACTTGATGCTCGGGAGCATAAAATCAGGGGGAAAAAATCTACGTGTAAAAATAGTTACCCACAACCAGCGCGACATGGCTGATGGGGGTGTCATCAAACCATTGTCACTCGTGGGAACGGAGGCTAAACCGTTCTCCCAACCATCTTCGTGCCATCCAATTAGTTCCGGGTGGGGGGGGGGGGAGGAGGGGAACAAATCTGACGGATATTCTCTCCACACTGACACCACTTTTGGCCTTGATGAAGGCAATGGGAGGCAAATACCGAGCGGGGAAATCCACGAGTCTCCCAACGCCACTCCCCTGAAGGCGCACGCGATCTCCTTGTTGTTGATGGCCTGCGGAAGGGGGTCAGTGAGGGCGTTATCAGAATCTGTATTTAGACTGGAGGAGGAATCCGATGAGCTATGAAGCTCTTTTTCACAGATGCCCAGTAGGGGAGGGTCAGCGGTAGTGGTTTGGGGGTCAAGGGTCAGGGTTAAGTGCGGCATTGGTTTCAAAAATATTTGTTCCCCTAGAGGGGAATGAATATTCGTTTCCACCAAAAGACATTAATCGCCACCCTACCTATCTAAACCCATAGATTAGGGTTATGGTAAAGGAATAAAGTTTCGGGTTAGGGAAAAGGGATAGATGCTACAATGGATATGAAAAAGTTCGAACCAAACAGACAGTTATGAAAGTGTAAAACTCTACTGAAAGCAAACTGAGCAACTGCTTCACGGACATGTTTTCTTATACAAATTTGCTTGGAATTAACGTATAGTTAAATTTCGATTTAAAGCTTTCGTGACTGCAAGGATTCATCTTCTTTGGTTCTTTCGGTAAAGTCACGTAGAATGAAAATAAAATAATAAATTGATAAAATAAAAGAACACAATAAAATTCTCACGACGTTTCGGCCACAACACAAGCAGCCTTCATCAGGTGAAGGGACGAGACTGTCTGGAGGACAGCGCGTGACTTTACCGAAAGAACCAAAGAAGATAACGTATAGTTATTCATTTTGCTCGGAATACGCTCTTGAAACACTCTCCAGCGGCCAGGGCACATCACCACTGCCCCTCAATTCCATTTCTTCCTCCCCAACAACCCCTTAACCTCGCGAAAACCCATGGCCGCCTCCGTTTTTGAAGCGGCTACAAATACAACGGGCGAACTTCGGCCCTCACCTTCAGCAGCTCCAGCGAAATGGCGGCGGCCATCTTCCCTCCGTAGGACTCGGAGAAGATGTAGAAGGGGACCGTCTGCAAAGAAGGGCAAGAAAACCCCGAGGGTCACTCTGACACATCTGCCGCTGGATCTCGGAACGCGCGAGTGGTTCAGCGTCCATTTTATTTAGA